CAGAAGAAGAGGAAAGGGTCTTTGATGGAATATTTAGGGTCTGATTCTTCACTGTGTGAAATCAGTGGAGTTACACTGGTATAAAACTGATATAACTCCGTGGAGAATCAGGCCCCTACAGTGTGGCTATTAAGTGAACAGATGGTGGTTTGAACAAGAGTAGCCAGGATCTGAACTGGGCCATGATAAGCAGAGAATCGAAGGAGTACTGTAATCTCCTATGGCAGCTGGCACTGCACATGCCTTAAATGATTAACATGTATGAGCTGGATCAGCCCACGGTTATTGGATCACAGCTGCCGGACCCAATTCTCAGAACTAATGAGCACTCACACAACTCATTGACTTCAACTAAAAGCTGCATTTCTTCATCTCCACTGAAAAGCAGGCTCTGGATGTCTCAAATTTGCATTCTAAATTAAGAAAAATGGCACTTTTGAAAATATAGGCCTTAATATATTTGCCATATAAGTCTTTATATAAAATGGGTATCAGATTTCCCTATTTCACCAGGATAATGTATGGCTAAATTTACATTTGCCAAACACTTTGGGATCTTTGGAAGTAGGACAATATATGAGTGCAAAGTATTATTATTATTAGAAATATAATAATGCAATACATTTTAAAAGCTATGTAGGATTAAATATCTGTAGACTAAACAACATTTATTTAACCTTATTCTCATGATTCAACTTACAAGTAAATTTACAATAATGGAAGTGTGATAATAACAAAAGTGTGTGGAGGTAATTTTGGGTCAGAAGTAAGGAATATAAATGCCCTGATGTAATGAGACTGTTTAAGTGTAAACACAGGGAGTAAGACTTACCTAAAAGAATGGAAGAAAATGATTGAGAAAACTATGATTGAAGAAGAATGAGAGGATTGCATAAGATGTAACAACAAGTCAGGCCGGAGAAAGAATTTAAACAGAAAAACATGACTGATATTGTGAAGAGTTTAAGAATGTTTTACTAGATGATCCCAAACTCACAATTTCACAATCAAGAAAAAAGGTTACACTGGTTAAAAAACCAGCCTGGCTAAGAGGGGAAATGAAAGCATTACTGTATAATATAAAACAAATGTAAAAAAGGGAAGTTGATAGCAACAAATATAAATTAGAAGTTAGAAATTTGACAAGGGAAGTAAAAGGACACAAGTGGTAATCTATAGTCAGGCTATAGATTCTATAGCAAGGAGAAGAAGAAGGAGTATTTTAAGTGTATCAGGAACAAAAGCAACCCTAAAAATGGTGTTGATCCATTACGTGATGGAAATGGCAGAATTACAAATAATATCACAGAAAAGGCAGAAGCATCCAATAAATATCTCTGTATTTGGGAAAAAGACAGAAGATGCATTCCCCTCATTTGATGATAAAATACTTCCCATTCCAACAGTAATTAAAGAGGATGTTCTGCAGCAGCTACCCTGGCCAAGGAGCTTGCTGAACTCTTAAGTGGGCTGTTAAAGTTGGCTTTCAATAATCTTGAAACACTGAGGAAGTTCCAGAGGACCAGAAGAAAGCTAATGTTGCATCAATATTTTAAAAGGATAAACTGGATTACTTTCTTAAATAGATTAAAACTTGCTAACTGATATCTCAAAATTTAATAGTAAATGGGGAATCATCACGAAGCGGGTATGTTTCTAATGGGGTCCCACAAGGATCAATTTTTGGACCCATACTATTAAATATTTATCAATGATCTGAAGAAAACATAAAATCATTACTTGATAAAGTTTGTAGATGACACAAAAAATGGGGAAGTGGAAATAATGAAGAGGACAGAACACTGACACAGAGTGATCTGCATTGCTGGGTACACTGGGTGTAAGCAAACAATCTGTTTTTATATGGCCAAAGGTAAGGCCATGCCTCTAGCAACAAATAACTTAGGCCATACTTTCAGGATGGGGGAACATTACCATGCAAAATAGTGATTCTGAAAAAGACTTGACATTCATGGTGGATAATCAGATGATATGAGCTTGCATGAGCTGTGGCTAAAAAGGCTAATGAGATTCTTGGATGTATATGTGCCGCTAGCAGACCAGATGCCAGCTCATGCCAGAGTCCCAGGCCAATTCACTTGTGTATTAGTTTAGATCAAAGTAATTGTTAAATGTATAAGAGTGTGTATATGGTGTTTAAACTTCATGAAAACTAATGGGATGTTAGTTGCATTGTTTTCACTTATCTGTATCCTGTTATAACGTAGTAGCAAACATTTACATTGTGTGTACCCCTGTAACTAAATAACCCATCAAACAAGAAGAGACCTTGTGGAATGCAAATGAAGAACTCTAACAGAAAAGTGCTAATTTCAAAGCAAATGGTCATTGTGCCTGATGATTGGAGGTCAAAGACTTTAACTGTATTCCTCACTTTCTGTCATCAAAGGAAAAACCCACATGGGGAGTGACCCAGTCAGCTCAGTTTTCTGTGAGAAGAAGCTATAAGAATGGATTTAATGAAAGACCCTTCATCTCTGGACTGTTTGGATTCTAACAAGGCAGAATGACTGAACGAGAAGATGGAGATCCAGAGTTATTCTGGATAGCCCTTACAGACTTTGGGGAAATTGGCAGATTACTAACTTTCTGCTACCATTTGGAATTATAGACGGTGACTCACCTGTACATATATTTTACCCGTTTTAACCTCTCAATAATTCTCATTTCCTTTTTGTAGCTAATAAATCTTAAGTGGGTTTACTATAGAATTGGCTGCCAGCATTGTCTTGGGTGTAAGATCCACAGTACCAATTGATCTGGGGTAAGTGACTGGTCTTCTGGGACTGGGAGCAGCCTAAATGTGACGTGATCTTTGGTGTAAGTGACCATTTATCACTTAAGTCTGGTTTGTCTGGGTGGCAAGACAGATTGGGGCATCTAAGGGACTGTCTGTGACTCCATGGTAGGACTGGTATAGTGATCCAGGAGCTCACAGGTGCTACTGGCTTGGTGACATCTAATTATAGAACACATCACCAGCTTGGGGTGTCTTCCCTGTTTTCTGACAGTCTGCCCTGGGGTAGGCACTCACAGTTGTGAGCCACCCCAGAGAGCGTGACAATATAAATAGGAGAATATCAAGTGGGAACAGGGAGGTTATATTAATCCATATATCTGATACTGTGAGTGGTGATTGCTCTTGGACTACTGTGTCCAGTTCTGGTGTCCACACATCATGTAGAAACGCTGGAGAGGGTTCAGAGAGGAGCTCAATCTATTTAGCTTATCAAAGAGAGTTAAGGCATGACTTGATCATAGTCCATAAGCACCTACACAAAGAACAGAAATTTGATAATAGAGAGCTCTTCAATCTGGCAGACAAAGGTATAACAAGATCCAACAGCTGGAAATTGATACTAGACAAATCCAGACTAGAAATAAGGCACCAATTTTTAACAGGGAGGGCAATTAACTATTAACAACTTGGACTTGAAGAAGGAATTATTTCAGGGGAGTCCTGTTGTATGAGTCATGCAAGAGCATTGATTAGATGATCACAATGATCCCTTCTGAACTTAAAATTCATGAATCTATTAATTTTATTGAACTTTGAAAAAAAGGTTAGCAAAGGTCTTTGAAAGGACTGTATGGGAAATTTGATTATAGAAATGAGTACTGCTAGAAAATGGAATGACTTCTTTGCTTTATTATCTCTCGGGGAGAACAAGGAGAGATGCCAGAAACAGAGATAAAGTTTTTGTGGAGAGAAGCAAAGAAAGAACAGAAAAATTACTGGAACGAAGAGTTACCTCAGAACAAGATTTTTTTTTTTTAAATTAGATCATCTGAAAATAGGGAAGATTCCAGTAAGGGATGGCCAGCATCCCAGAATCTTGAAAGACACAGCAGACTGTATTTAAATTAACAAAAAAGCTAGAGCAGGAATTTTTAACTCCTCATTAACAATAAGAAAAGAACTGGAAATAAGGTATCATGAAACCAATGCTTAAAGAGGGAGCAAGGAAAGATTCTAGAAAGTATAAGTTATATTCAGTATTAGAAAAGCACCTTGTGATTTTTTATTATGAAGAGCATAGTGAACAGGTATAGATTGGTCAATGATAAGTCAGCAGGAAGGCTGTGCTTAATGAATCTGATAATATTTTTGAGGCAGTGACAATAATGGTTTGAGAAGAGTAAGGGGCAAAACAGAAGTTGACAGACTATCTGGACTTCAGGAAGGCTCTCCAATTAAAAAAGTAATGATGGCAACAATAGTGGAATTCTCCAGTGGAATAAAAAAACAGCCATGGTCAGAAATTAATTGAAAACAGCCATAGCCTGGGACGGAATGAGATGGCAAATAGCGCAGGAGAGATAAGCATTGAACCTATTTTACTTACTGTGTATCAGCTACCAGGACTAGGCAGCAATACGAATGACAACTGAGGGAGAATGAATACAAAAAACGAAGGATGAAAGGTCCCAATAAATCTGAAATAAACGGGAACGTGGGCTGGAAAATGGCTTCTATAACTGCACATTTAAAAATGAAAAATAACGAGTACTGGATAAAATATACCAAAAGGAGATTTGCTCTGAGGTCTGGTGATATGCTACAAAGTGTTGGTCAGGAAAATAATCTTTATGGATGACAGCAGAGAGACTCTGCTCAGAGTTTGGAAGCAGTTAGGAAAGCAGAAAGAATGTAGGACACATAGTGGAAGTGAGAGGAGAAATCAGTCTCTGTCACAAGGGTTAGTAAGACCATACTTGATGTATTGTGTAGAATTATAGATGTCAGAATACAAGGAGGCTGAAGGAGCTACACACAGTGGCAGAAATTTACATTCAAATTCTTGGTCCAAAACTTGTATACAAATATATACCATATTGACCAAGGGTGAACATTTTTCAAACAAGCCCACGCGTAGACACAAAGGCCTAGTAGTCATTTTGCCCTCCCCTAAAAATCATTATAGAAAATACAAAACCACATACAATTAAAATAGCATTACAAAAAAGCAAACACATACTATTTTCTTGTCGTAGGATTCCCCACTGCTGTAAGTCGTAGCTAGGGTGGATGCACATTCTTCCAGATACCAAGGTTTTTTTCCGCTTTCAGCTGTGCTGCTTATGGAAATAGTGTAGATGCTATTGGTGTAGCCATCGCAGGAGCAATGGTCCTTACTCCTTCCACCATTTCCAGACGCCCAAACAAAAATGGAACCTAACTTATTTCGTCCCTGTTTACAAACAATAGGAAAGATTTGATTAATGTTTTTTTCTTGGTAAGCAAGTGGGCCCTTACCCCAAATCCTGCCCCCCTTAAAAAGACAAAAGAGCTCATTGTGGAAGATTGTGAAGAAAAAACAGCGTTTAGCTGAGGTAAGAGCTAACCCTCACAAATTCAAAACATGAGTGAGATGAATAAACACAACCGTAAAAACAAAAATTAAATTCAGATTCTATTTGTAGGTGTGGGTCTATTCTGTCCAGCCTTACAAAGAGAAATGCAGAAGACACACAACATGCATTAAATGTATCATACTGGATTTAAATAGTAAACAAACAAACAAAAGAAGAGCATGTTGTAGCTACAAACATTTGTAATAGACAGAACCAGTTGTTTATAAGGGTTCTCCTGAATGTCTCATTCTGGAATTACCAAGTGATGCCATGTACTGTTTGAGTAATATCAAGTATTCGGAACCACACTGGATCAGTTGCACAAATGTTATAAATGGTAAATGTAAAACACTTTGTTAAAACAAAAATGGACAGGCAAGGATTGCTTTGTTAATATATTAGCAGTAAGCACTATGGCCCCAAGTCAGTAGTCTAACTGAAGTTAGGCACATGCTTAAGTAAATTGCTGAATGAGGACCTAAAACAGATATACATATTAAGAAAATTTAATAGGTGAGTCTAAATAAATATAGTGGGAGTGAAAATGAATCCATAATTATTTTGGTGTTCTCAATTTGGTGTTGATGTAAAGGGTGAAGATGATCAACATACTGCATGCCTGCTGTCTAGCAGGGAACTGTAGTTTTCCATATTCCAGGCACTTCATGCAGACAGATAAACAGGTTAACATATGAGGTTCCCGTAATTTACATAATCTAAATACATTCATTGACTGTTTGCAAACACTATGATAGTAATTAGGATAGAGATTTTAATCAAAGGAGTAAACATGTCTTTAATTCTAGTTCTGAAAAATGACATACTTTTATTATTTATTAATTCTTTTGAGGGCAAAGGAAAAAGCCCAAGGGTTACAATTAAGTTAATAGCCTAATTTATATCTCATTTGTTTGCAGCACATCATGCAATATATGGTTTGTATAAGTGGTAGGTTCATTCCTGTGTATGATGAACTAATGTTATGCCACATGCTACTTCGGTTTCTGTGATCATGAATAAATTACTAGTACATATATTTTGTTTTTTTATAAACAGAGTGGATTTGTGTGCTGCAAATGACATAAAGACAGCTGTTGGATATCTACCAAGAGAATCTTAAACAATTAGCAATTCAAAGATTCATCTAATCCAGATGCACAGGGGGTTTTCATTAGTGCATTTTTTGCTGAGTGTAATAGAGCCTAAATCAATGTAAGAAAAAAAAATCCCGCGGTTCATGATTCTGGCAGATATATGTGCTTGAATTCACAAACATTGATGAGTTTCACTTTGTGAGTTTAATAAAGTTCAGTACCTGTAGAGATTCTTCTCCTCAACACAATAACTTAGATATCAAATTCTCCTTGCTAGTGTTTACATAAGGTTATGCCTTTAAAATGCAATTTTTCATTAAAAAACATTTCAAACGAAGGAAAAAATATCCCAGGGTGCCAAGTTAAATGTACTATGAAATCCACATGCTCCTGACAAGACCAGTCCAGCCAGCCAGGAAGTATAACTATTTCAATTTCTTTTTCTTTCTTTGGCTGATCTTAGCTGCTCCAGTGATAAAAATGTACATTACAATATACTTGTTTAAAAGGCTGGAGCAGTACTGGACTTTTTGCAGGGCTTCAATTCAAGCAACTAACACCACAGCGTCTGATTTTGACATTATTTTCACACATACACAAATGGTAGCATTGCAACATCATACTGCAAAAACTTTGTGGTTGTTCTTATCAAGTACACCCATGCCCCAGCAGACCACTCATATAACAGCGCCGCTCCTGCACAGGGAAAGTTCAGTTCATTGTGTTCCCTGCTCCATCATCTCTCTGTCTTTACATCTGGATTAGAGCAGTAGACTCTGGTTCTGTTCATCTCTTCCAGGTCTCATCCCTCTCTCTCATCCCTTGTGTGAACCCAAGAAAGAGTGACATCACCTTGCTGTTTTGTGTTCTGCTTTTTCGCAGCTCTTTTACCTTTTAGGGCATGACCCAAGGCTGAGAAAAGTCAATGGCAGTCTTTCCACTGACTTCCATGGGCTTTATATCAGACCTATGAACTATTGCTTGTCTCATTCATTCTGTCCATTCGTCCTCTGGTCACCTCTCTCGCTAACTTTTGTTCTTGTTCCCTCTCCCTCTTCTTGAAATACTGACTGAGGGAAAAGTAGTTTATGCTTGAGAATACCTGCAAATCTGAGACAGGTTGATGACACAGAGAGCATCCATCTACTGCCTCAACTCACTCCACCATGCCCATGGATTTGAGGTTCAGGAGCTTCTTTAGGATTGGGAGGTGACTAGAAGATCATGCCAAACAGCTGCTGTTCATTCCTTTTTACTATGCTCCTGGCTGATTTCTGCTGATTACATTAGTCTCTAACCACTGGTACCCTCTTTGTTCCAGTGCTAAGCTACCTCACTCTCCTCCTTTAAATCCCTCCTCGACATTCACTTTAGACTAGTTTGTCACTGCTAGTTTTCACTCCAGAGTGATGTCCATACTTCTGTCTGGCCCTACAATATTCTTATCAAATGAACAAAAAGCAAAAGAAAATAACTCCTGTCTCTCTCTCTCTCTCTCTCTCTCTCTCCTCCCCGTCCCCGTCCCG